TAGTGTGAAATATGTTATTTTACCATTATGGACAAATTCTGACCAAATTTTCTGGCCAAAAGGATTTTTCCATAGATTAATTATGTGGATTGTGGAGCAATATATTACAACTAGATATGGACCTCGTGTCAGCACAGGGCCCAACATATATTACGTTGATCAATTTCTTAACATGTTTTTATATATTAGAGTCAACCAATTTTTTATATAGAGAGAGAGAGATTTTTAAAGTTGCTAATTATTGTGATTTATGGTACTTTTTACGTAATTTTCACATAATATATATTACTCCTTTTGTGTTGATTTATGTGATATAAATGAAATTTCAAAAGTCAATCAATATTTTTATAAATTTTTTTTGATTTTCAAGTTATTAATTATTGTGATTTACAATATATTTTATGTATTTTATATAATATCTCTCTCTTTATCTCAATTTATGTGGTATAGATGAAATTTTGAGAGTTAACAAAATCTTTTTATATATTTTCAAATATTTTGAAGCTATTAATTATTATGATTTATAATACTTCTTACATAATTTTTTAATATATATATAAAGTGATAAAAGACAAAAAAAAAATTTAAAAGAAAACTTTAAGTTGCCAAACTACCACCCCTTGCTACAAGCAGGCACGTTTACTAAAAGTTGCCTGCTTGTAGCCTCTTCTATAGTATAGTAATAATATATTTACAAGATACGGGATTTGTGCAAGCACGGGTCCAATATATATTATTTTTAATTTTAATTTATGTGACACGGATGTAACTTGAGAAGTTATTCAAAATTTTATATGATTTTTAAAAATATTTTAAGTTACTAGTTACTATGATTTATAGTTTTTTCAAGTGATTTTGAGGTAATATATATTATTTTGTTTTCCCAATTTATTCGGCATAGATATAATTTCAAAAAATAATCATTTTTATGTCTTTTAAATATTTTAAATTGTTAATTATTGTAATTTTTGTAGTACCTTTTACGTAATTTTTAAATATTTTTTGTTACTTCTCATGTCCCAATTTATGTGGTATTGATATAATTTTGAGAGTTAGCCAATTTTGTTTTTGTCTTTTAAATTTTTAAGTTGTTAATTGATTTATAATACTTTTAACGTCACTGTCAAATAATATATATCATTTTCTCTAACCCATTTTATATTTCACAAATAGAATTTTGAGAGTCAGTTAATTTTTTTATATGACTTTTAAATATTTTAACTTATTAATTATTTTGATTTAAAGTATTATTATTGTAATTTTCAAATATATAACAAGCTAAAAAAGAAAAGTAAGACAAAATTAAAAGGAAAAAAGTACAGAATTAATGGTCAAATTAATATGACGCAAATAAAATTTGAAGAGTCGATCAAGTACTATTGTATATAGTATTTTTTTTAAATTAAGTTGTTAATTATTGTGACTTATAATACTTTTAACATCATTTTTACAAGGGATAATTTCATAGACCTCCCTTCAGGTTTTCCTTTATAACACGGACCTCCCCCGTTGTTTGATATATTACATTGACCTTCCTTATTCTCACTTTTTTATAACAAAACTAAGTTTAGTGATTAAATTTACATAATATTCCAAAATTACCCCTTGTGACCTTAACTATTAAATACTAAATATAAAGCTTCTGTAGATTTTCTTAATACTCTACCTTTCTACCATTATTATAAATAATATCTAGCGATTTCTTCAAATCATCATCAATTTTCCAATGTTTACTGCCATTATGCAGTAGCCACAGTTAATAATGATCTAAAGAGTAATATTAGATGCAATGCAATAAAACCAGCTCTTTTATAGATTATTATTAATTTATTTTATATATTATTAAGAAGTTATAATACTTCAGTTTGATGTAGATCTTCATCAGAAAAAATATTTATCAACAATTTTTTTTACAATTATCCACTAATTAGGTTAAAATGATTTAAATTTCAATGTCGGATTTATGTAAAGTTACTAATCAAAATGAATAATAAGCTGTTTGAGATCTTCTTGAAAATTTGATAAACTCTTGAGAGGAGATTATATTAAAAGACTAGAATTTTATTAATAAAAGAAGCCACATAAGGGTAGTTTTGGAATATCAAATAAAATTTATCACTTAAATTAGTTTAGTTACAAAAATGTCAAAATAAGGGAGATGAGTGTAATATATCAAACCACAAGAAAGATTAGTGTTATAAAGACAAATCTGGAGAGAGGTCTCTGAAATTATTTGGATATTTTTTCTTATATTCTAATTTATGTGGCACAATAAAATTTAGAGAGTCAGCCATTTTTTATATAATTTTTCAATATTTGAACTTTTGTGATGGCAATTATGATATATAGTAACGCTCCATGCTATTTGGGGGGTACATATCAGTTTGATTTAATTTTCTATTAAACTAAATCTAAATTAGTCATGTCAATTTATTAAATTTTAAAATCACATTAAGTCAGGTTTTTGGTTTCGGTTTTAGTTGGTTTTTTTGATTTTTTATAATTATATCGTGATTGAAAAAGAGATTAAATATACTTTCACTTATCGGTATGATAAGCTAAACTTTAAAAACGTTAAATGAATAGAAATCTTCAAAAAGACGGTAAAATTGACATGAGTACAAAATAATTTTATTGAAATCATTATGTTAAATTTATACGATTAAAGGCTCTAGTCAAACTGGATACAAAACAAAATATTTACAGAGTAGATAGTTAACTTCGAATTTTAAAAGTATAATTGTAACTTCCGATTTGAAAATAAAATAAAATATTTATAAAAGTTTACAAGTCCAAATTTAAAATAATATATCTAAACATTGAAAACTATAAACTAATAAAAAATATATTAACAAAATAGATTATAATTAATATTTTTTATCTATAAATAAAAAATAAAATAATATATGTTATATCGATCTGGTTTGGATTTGGTTTAAATTTTTTTCTTTTAAGATATTTCAGTTCGAAAAAAAAAATTGATGACTAGATCACTGATCTAATTTCTTTAATCACGAGTAAGTGAGCTTTAGTTGATTTTTTTTCTTTAACTACTAAAATATTTCAGTTGCTAAAATTGATGACTAGGTCACTGATCTAATTTCATAATCACGAGTCTATTATTATTAACGGATTTTTAGTTGATTTTTTCTCTATAACTACTAAGATATTTCAATTCGCTATTGATCTATTTCTCCAATCACGAGTCTATTATTTATTGGAATAATCTAAAATATCTCCAACCAAACTCGTCTGAATATCTTAGAAAAACAGGAAAAAAAAATTACAGTAAAATCATGCTGTTTGCATATTCTATCTAGATATTTTTTTAATTTTTTATTTTGGTTAAATATCTAGATATTTTTCAACCTAACTATTATCATGATTCATTATATTTTATATAGATGTGGTAAAAGGTGCAGTGAACTTATTGAATTGTATAACCTAACCTAGTGTCAGAGTTATTCAATGTCGTCTGAATATATTAAAAAATATAGCATCTATGTGATTATTTCATTTAAAAAATTTAACAACTAAAGATGGTATATTTTTATTTATTTAATTATATTATCAACACTCTATCTCACATAAAGGCTTGATTATTCTTTTCCTTGATGAAAAATGTAAAAAAAAAAAAAGGTTTTATAATGAGTGATAGTAAGATTTAAAATCAATATCTTTATAATAAAAGGGAGTTGCTCGGATGATAAGCATCCCTCACTTTCAAGTTTCAACCATAAGGTCGTGAGTTTGATTCACCAAGAGAGCAAAAAGGTGAGAGTTCTCGTTGTTCTAATAGCTAACACCCCTTTGCGTATATATTGTAGTTCCTATTTCTAGGAACACTTTCAATAGATTTTTATTTATTTATCTATAGAAATTTTAAACTCAAATCTCTAATTAAGCATCACAATATTAATCCATATCGATGTATAACAACTTTCATATTACTGTTCAATAATCAAATTACCCCGATTTGTGCACGAGTGTGCTGACTTAAACGTAGAACAGATATCATTACAATTAGTAAAATAATGCAAATCATAAATTAAAAAAAAAAATGGGAATTCAAATTGTTTTATCACGTTTATTTTTGTAAAATAAAAAAATAATATTTTCTGAAGCTTGAGCAGTAGTAATAATGAAAGGTGGTTGGGTAGCAAGTTAAATTAAAATGACTTTTCAACTCAACTATAGTACTTAATTTAAGTTGGTATTTATAATGATTTTAATTCGTAGGCCAGCAGTTGTACTAGGCTCTTTCCTCTCGAGAAAAAATTATTTGTATTTGATATATATATAATATTTTTAATATTAAATATAGTTAGTTAGTAAGTAATTAGTTAGTTTATATATTTTGGATTCTAATTTTTTAAGATAATGGATTCTAGATAAAATTATTTATTTATATTAAATAAACTTTTTAGTATAAAGATAAGACTGAATCAAAATTACTGAAAATTCTATCAAATTCATAGGTATTATTATGACTTCAGTACTTTGGAACTTAATTAATTCTCTTTAAAGGATAAACACACTTATCAAAAATTTAGAACTCAATTACTAACACCACATATATTGTTATTTATTTAGAATTCATAAAGTTCAAATTTTGATTTTGCCTCGGATTTGCTCGTGGATGTTTGAAATATATATACTCCATACTCCATAAATGCACCCTCACATGACTAGAAAATTGTAACACTATTTAGAAATTATTAATTTTTACTGAAAATTGTTCAATGGTTATTTTCCCAAATATTTTGGTGGTGTAAAAGAAAAAATACTACTATTTTCATATAAAAAATTTAGAAAGTTGTTTACTTTTTCAGTGAATTGTTTCGGTGGGAAATAAGTGAAAAAATTATATTGTATATCACCAATTATCCACTTATTTGCGATGGAAATAACATTTGTTTTTAGTATAATAATAAAATAAGGATAATAAACTAATTCAACATCTTTTTACTTGCCAACCAAATATACCATAAATGCACCCTTCACTTCAATCTAAAAAATGCATAAAAATCTTACTATAAATATAGCCCAATGATGCCTCACTTTCTTCATCCTTCAATTTTCAAACTACAAAAAGAAAACAAAGAATGGGTTCCAAGGCATTTCTGTTTCTTGGTCTTTTTTTGGCTATTTTTATAATGATAAGCTCTGAGGTTTTAGCTACTGAGTTGGCTGAGAACTGTAAGATTATTATTTTCTCATTTTATTCTCTTATCTCTTAGAAATATTGAATATCTCACCTAACTTTTTATCTAGCAACATTTTTGGTCCACTAAAACAAGTACCTTAATTAAGTACTTCTTTTGAATCGAGGTCTATCAGATATTGTTTCTCTAATACGTAGGGATAAGGTTTCCAGACCTTGAATTTCGTGGCAAGCTTTTCAATTCATCACAAAAAAACTCAAAAAGCTTAGTTTTGTGGCAACTATAAGTTGTCACAAAAATTCATATGTAACGACTCAAATACGTCCACTTGTAAGATAATACTGAGTATGTTATTGCTACGGCTAAAACAAGTACCATAAGTTCCATATGTGTATGTACTAATGCTAGACGCTTACCAAGATTGTCATTTCATAAGTAAATGATCTAACTTAGAATATATATATATATATATATATATATATATATTCTAAGTTATACTACGTACATGTATAAATAATTTATTCAGAACTAAGCAAGTTGTTTTTTAAAAAAAACAAATTCATAATTCATAAATTTAAAATTTTGACCAGTCTCTACCTATCTTATTTTTAACATTACATATTCCACATTTGATGTAGCTAAGAAATCTGAAAACAAGAATGAAGTACATGAAGCCCAATATGGAGGATATCCTGGTGGCGGACACGGTGGTGGTGGATATCCTGGTGGTGGATATGGACGTGGTGGTGGTGGATACGGACGTGGTGGTGGTGGATATGGACACGGTGGTGGTGGATACGGACACGGTGGTGGACGACGTGGAGGATACTGCCGGTACGGTTGCTGCGGCCATGATTACAATGGTTGCTATAGGTGTTGCTCCTACAAAGGAGAGGCAATGGACAAAGTTACTCAAGCCAAGCCACACAATTAATTAGATTAATTATGTGTGGACTAATATATTATATTAAAACTTTTGTAATGGCAATTATGTAATATTATTAGTAATGCTCTTTCTGCTTTAGAGCTTGCTATAATTAGTAAAAATGTATGAATAAAAAACATCTTGTAGTAATTTTGTTGTACAATGGAATTACTTTCTTCATCTTTCACTTTTTACTTATTAAATTTGAATTTTAATTTGGTACCTTCGATATTTTATCATAATATTCATATTTAATGTATTTACCGTCATCGACTGACCATTTTTGAAATAATTATTTAGTAATTGACGTTTTTTAAATTTATTTTGCTAACTTATAGACCTTTTATGTCACATTATAAAAAATAAGTAATAATAATAACAATTTAACAAAATGAAAATTCTACGAGAAAGTATAAAATCACGTATTATCATCAATACCAAAAAGTTATAGTGCTTTTTAATTGACTTGACCGCTATTCAGAGCTAATTGGTTGTTAAAATTTATTCTTTGGAATGATTTAACTCTTGTAGTCTTATTTTCTTTATATTAAATTAATAAAGTGGGATTCTTTTAACAAGTTCAACGAAAAGGCCAAAGTTTAATTTGAAGTCTTTGGTTGTTTAATTTGGCATCTGATCCCTCTCGTCTACCTGATATATGAACCCAAATTCGAAACATATGATTAAGGACGAAAAAGTTTAACCATCGATAGCTATGGATATAAGGTGATAGTTATGGCTTACGAGTTCATTGAAATTCAATAGTTTTGGCTTGGAATCTCAGACTATGTATATATGTTTAAAAGATTATTTTCTCTGTCTCAATTTATATGACAGAGTTTGATATTATTTGACACAGTTTAAGAAAAAAAATGAAATTTGTGGCTAAAACAAAGCTTACACATTTATTTGTGTAGGTATAAATTATTTATTCGAGGGTAAAAAGAGAATTATAAAGTTAAATTCTTTCTAGCTATGAAAAGTTGATTCTTTTTTAGATGAATTAAAAAAGAAAGTGTGTCACATAAATTAGGACAAATGAAGTATAAATATGTACAAATAATTATTTACATATAATAAATAATCAATTGTGATAGAATTTTGAACTAAACCCATAAAGTTCAATGGTATCATAATAACAATATTGATAATAGAAACTAGATAACACTTGACTATCTACCTTAATCTTCGAGACCTTCGCAGCCCTCCTAATTGTAATACTATAGGTTGATACGTATCCTCCGTAAATTACGTTTAGTTAAAGCAAGTCTTTATGATCCATATAATTAACTAATATATATAATATTTTACATTTCCATCTTTTTGACCCCAAAAGAAAAAGGTCTTTATGAAATCTTTCTTTTTTTTCTTGAAGAATTCAAAGTAAGTCCTCAACATTTTCCTCTATTTTTCTGATTGTTGCATGTAAGTATTATTGAGTTCTATAAATAGGGGAGAAATGCATGTCTTTTCTCATAAGCAAAAAAAATAAAATAAATTCAAATTCCAAACAGTTTAATTTGTTAATCAAAATGGTTTCCAAAAATATTTACCTTTCTTTGGTTATTCTACTAATAATATCCTCACAAATTGTTGCAAGGGAGATGAATTCTGAGGCCCCTGCTCCACTTACCCAAGGTTAATTTACTGTCTCCATCTATTTATTATTATAAAAAAAATGTTTTTATTTGTTTTTTGTTATATATAAACGGTTGAATTTTCTTGACATCATGGAGAATTTTAGTATATAGCGGTAAAGGGCGTTCAAAAATAGTTATATTACATGTCTAAATACTATATATGGTGCATGCGATACTATTTTATTGTATTTTTGAATTCCCTTATATGAATTTCTGATTCCGTCACTAACTAATATGAAGCTCTACATACACTTTTTGATGCAGCAATGAATGGAAACACCACTAGTGAAGCCAAGGGAGTGTTTTTTCATGGACACCATTTACTGAGGAATCTTGGTAGAATTTTCAGAATTGGCCAAGTTATATATTGTAACTATTGCTCAACTTGCAATGGCCTTTGTGGCTATTGTTGTGTCTAAAGCTAAGATCAGAAATCTGCAACCTCCTCTTTAACCACGCGCTTTATGAAAATACATCTTTAAGTTTATATGAAAGTCTATATATAATTAAGACTTGTGTACCTGTATTGGTGTGAAAAATAAAGGGAAGTTATGAATAGAGTCCCTATTCACTTTCCTCTAGTAAAACTACTTGTGTTTTGTTTTGTTTTTGTCATGTTTTTATAATTGTTGCAACTTGCAATAAGTCATGTATATGTACCTTTAATTGGTTTAATGATCAAATAGTGTTTATGTACCAAGTTGGCTATTCATGTTGGGCTTGGTTTAAAATTTAAATCATCTTAATTACCTTTACTACAAAAAAGGTAATATTCGACCTATATATACAGTATAATTTTCAAGCGAAAGGTGTTTAACTGACCTCTCTTGAGCCTATGGGAGAAAGGTATAACCAATTTACAAGGTTTACAAATGACTCAACAAAATTTTCAAACCAGAATGAGGCTGCCAAGGAACATCCAAGAAAATTGTGTATCATTGAGGAATAGAACTATGCAGCTGCGTCTGGTAAAAATGAGGTGCAGCCTCCGTTAGCCAAGAAGGATCGATAGTGATGACATTTCGCATGTACTGACGATCTGTTGAAACGAGAGAATGGTACACGATGAACTTCGGGTTGACCCTGTTAAATATGAGAAAACCACATTATAAACTAGACATGTAAGTGATGTAATACACTTCCACTCAACTAAGTTTTATGTCGATACTAACAAGGAAATGTGAAAATGTTAGTACAAAATTCAGTCATGCTCTTGTTGAGCAAGGTCTAATATGATGTTCAGTATCCATGCACACATATAGCAGAAAAGATGGCGACGAGAAAGTTCCTGACCACACCATACTACAATAGGATGCAAAAAAAGGGAATGATACCGTTTCCTATCTATGGATTTGACTCGAGAATCATAGATCTTCCTAGTTCCTAGGGTGTTGGTTCAGTGGTAAGGACAAAGTACATGATGTGTGAGTCAGGTGCACGTCAACCATACTCCCTGGAGTTCTAAACTTGAGCCCCAACTGAAGTTGGGCCAGGAGCCCACATGGGATTTCTCCAACTTGAGCAACAGAAATGACTAGTATTCTTAATAACTTTAGATACTTGGACTATCGAAACCAGTTACAGAAATATTGATACCTTTAAAATGGCAATCAATCGCACACGTGAACGTTATTTCTACATCTTATGACTACTAAGGGGAAATAATTCTTACGTCTCCATAATATAAGCAAACCAATCAAGCTATCAGAGTTTGATAGAGACATTAATAGATAAATACCTGAACAACACAGATGAAGGATGAATATACACTTCTTGAGAAGTTCTGAGAGTCTTGTACATCCCATTGTGACTGAATGGCTGTTTCAAATATCAGCAACAGAAGTTATCAAATATGATCATATCAGAAAAATAAGGCAGAAACAGAAAGAGTGCCTTTTAAGACAAAAATAGCTACATGTACCAAACTTCATACTCACTTCTAAGCGGGCAGCATTGGCAAAAAAACCTGCCGTAATTGCCTTCTTTACTGCCTGTGAAATGACTAAATTTAGTTACGCCTATTACATCATAAAAGAAAGAGTCACCCCAAAAAAGTTTTTAAAAAATATGCTGCTATTGAGAAAGTGACCAAGCTGCAATCTCTAAACCTGTGAATAATTTTAATTGAAGCCTTAGCGGCAGTTGCAGCTCTAATTTGACGGCCTTTTGGTGGCGGAAAAGAATGATTCAGGCAACAATATTCAGTCAATGACAAGCGAGCAATCAGTTTTAAAACATGGGCAACTGCTCCACGGTCTGTTGAAATTTGAATGCTATTGACATTAACAACTGAATCAGCAAATTAAGTTACCTGAATATCCCCTTCACAAGATTTCAGTCCTATGCCCAACCGTTGTGTAATTTTTCTCAGCTGTTCCCTAACTTCAATTACTTTTCTCTGCATAATGGGAAAAAATCAAGGATGTCACAAGGGGAACGTTCACGAAACACTGCATAAAGTAAAAAGTAGACCATCCAAAATGCTTTGTATGGAAGTTGGATTGGGACATACCATGGCATGATAATTTATAAAATTCTTGTGACACCACTTCGAAGATTTATTAGACTGAATGAATCCTTTATACACATTTAAGAATGTAACATGGTCACCCTGCAAAGGTATATCGAAGTTACACATGAATTTACTTGAAGAAGGCTAAACAAGTAAATCACTAGAAACAAATAGGCAGCAATCTTAATTCCAATTAGTGACTGTATTGAATCTACACAAACTTGTAATTGCATGTACTATTTTATTGAACTCCATCGGATACTTTTTAAGCCTTGAAGGTGATAGTTAGCAGAGTGGCAAGTTTGTAGAAATCACAAGACAAAACACAATATGTGTCCTTTTTTTTTTATTTTGCACCAATATGAGTTCTTGACTGGGAAAACATTTCTGCTTATGCAATGAATCAAGTAAATGAACAAGGAAAAAAAAGGGAAGTGCAAGATCCTGAGAATTACAAGTTAGAAAGTTTGAACTTAGTTGTAGCCTTGGGATCTTTCATACAAGTTAAGTATCCACTAGATAAATTTGTACTCACTCCAATAAGCAACTCAATACTTGAGTAAACAATTGTTAATTCATAAAACAGTCAATTCGGATGAATCAAATGACAATGGACACAAATTATAAAGATTACTTAGCATAAATCCCAGGAAAGAACAAAAAATATAATTTTATTACAACAAGAGGAAAATACAAACTAAAGGTGATAATGAAGCAGGAGAAAAGTGGAAAAGAAAATTATTAACATCTTAAGCACAGTATAATTTATTTAAGCTCTAAATTTTACATTATCTATTATGAGACACATCTGCAAGTTGTCAAATGTGTAGTTCATCGTATACTTTAAGTATAACATAAATAAGTTATTACAGAGGTGAACCTAATAAGCGAAAAGGAAGAAACCAAAAACCTCGGCAGCTGCAAATCTCAATTTAGCTTCATCCAACTGCTTCTGTACTCCTCTAACAGGAATCCAAATAGACTGCAAAAATAAACAATATATTGATCTGACAAAATATAGAAGTCTTGTTTT